ACGAGGTACACACTAGAAGTGTACACAAGTACCCAAAGAAGGACTCTACAGTATGAGAGGGTTATCCTACTTCATAACCCTACTTAATGACTACTTGCTAAGTCCCCGTTTAGGGGTCATGGTCCTTCCAGGTTTATGGTTGCAACACTATAGAGTTGCGGGCTTTTTCGCAAGAACCAAGAAGACACTGCTATGTGTTTTTGCCGCTGTGTTATGCCGGGGGGGCAGGGGGCGTTAGTGGCGGCTGAGCTTTTGTTTCTGCATTGAGGGCTTTTGTGGTGGCCTTCGATGCTCCTAGAGTTCTAGGAAGGCAATAGGGAAGTGGGCTTCAAAGTAACAATTAGGGTTTAGGGTTTAGGCTTTGGGGTTTAGGACTCAGGGTTCAGGGTTTAGGGCTTGCAAATGCTTTTGCTCGCTGCAACAGTCGGGAGCTTCTTTCACGTCAGCCCAGCTTTTGGGGCTGCCCGAGGTCTTGTCGCCATCGTGCAGGGACAAGGTCGTTACGTTCCAGGGTCAAGCGCCCTGCCAAATCCAAACTTTGTCAGGCCAACCAGATGAGTCACAAAGTCAATACCTGCGTACTTGATATTGTGGTAAACCCTAAACCCTAAACCCTAAACCCTAAACCCTAAACCCTTTGTGGCATGATGAAGTCCGATATGGCCCGAATGGTAGGCAGCCACACAGGCTGCAGAGAAACGACACGCTCACAGGCCACAAGGCAGCAGCCCCACAGGTCGCTGCAAAGTGGGTTTAGGGTTTAGGGTTTAGGGTTTAGGGTTTAGGGTTTAGGGTTTAGGGTTTAGGGTTTAGGGTTTAGGGTTTAGGGTTTAGGGTTTAGGGAGCCATCGATGTGGTAAGTTCAGGGCTGCCTGGGTGCTATAGGGCCTATGCAAGGGCCATAAGAAACTGTCAGATGTATCACCTATACTCCCCTTACCAATTACATGCTTATTCTTCCCCTTGGGCTTAATAATTCCTAAGGGGGCTAAAGTGATTCTTCCCTTGGGTTTAAGAATGCCTAAGGCCCTAAGGGGGCTAGAGTCACATGGTCACACAAACGGCGACAGCAGCTGCAGCCGACTCAGCGACTGTTGCGATGGTTGAAGTCGCCTCGGCTGCAGCGGCCGCTGCTGCCATGGCCTCCCCGGCTGCGGCTGCTGCGCCGACAGCCTCTCCAAGGGCTGCAACGCTTGCCTTAGTTGCTGAGTTCAGAGCTCTCCAAATAGTGTACACGTTCAGCTCTTTTAGGGGATATAAAAGTATCCCAAAAAGTGTAAGTGCACTTATTCACCTACTAAGTTGCCGTAGCCTCCCCAACAGCAGCGGCCGCCTCGCCAACTATGGCGGTTGTCGCGATGGCCTCGCCAACTGTCGTGACAACTGGCGCCAATGCCAGCGCTGCTTCCCCGGCAGTCACAGCTGGAGCAGTCGTCAGCAGGGCGGACACTGCAGTCTCACTTGTCATCGTAGATGCAAGGGCTGTAGGTGCGACGGCGACGGTCGCGACCTCCCCTGCAGCTGCAGAGCCTTCTGTTGCTGCCAACCCTTCCAGTACTGTGGTGCCTTCGAGTGCCATAGCTCCGTCGGAAGATACAGCTGCCACCCCAACACCGCCCTCGGCAACAGCGAAGCTGGCATCCACCGCGAGCGCGGCCCCCGCACTAGCCTCGGCCATGAAGAGATGGTCGCAAATCATGTTCGCATGCACAAGAACCTTCTGAAGCTCTGTGCCATTGGTAAACGGGTGTACTCGCTGGACAGCTTTGAGGGACTTGTCCAGGGCTTTGAACACAAGGTCCATGTTGTGGCCACAGCTTGCGTGCAAATGTGCAAATGTTTCAGCAGAGCTGACATGGGCAGCAGAGGCCCCGATGATACCATCTGTGACACCGACGACAGCAGGCTCAGTGACTAGCAGGGTGTTGTCTGCACAAGGCGTGAATCGGGTATGAGGATCTACGTCAATTGCTGACTCTACCTGGCCCATGACCGCGCAAGCGGGGACCTGCTGGCCTCGAGAGCGAAGGCTGTGACACCAACCAGCTAGAGCAACTGTGGTTCCAGTGACTGCCCAGCCAACAGGCGATGCAATCACAGCCACGCCGATAGGTAAGCCCATGCTTGCAGCAAATATTCCGAAGAGCGATCCTTTCACAACCACCGTCCGAACAGTGGCAGCCGCTGCACCTCTCGAAGCATTCTCCAAGTCGGCTGTGGCAGCAGCAACGGCAAACACCACCAGCTCCTTGCGGTGTCCTTCTGCTGGATCACCAAGTATGTTCACATCCGGCGCCAGCTCGAAAGTGCCGCAGGCCTCCACTTGCGCTTGCAACAAGTCCGTCACATCAGACCACTTTTTCTGGTCTGGGGAGCCCCAAAAGGCACAACAAACACCCCCGGCTGGAACTTGCGACCATGGGTAGAAACAGTTCATGATCGCTTCGTAGGCCCGGAACATGGTCAACCCCCCCTGCTCAGTAGCATCAGCCGTTTCCATGGTGGGCCGCAGGCGAGGATGTTTCTTAGGTCCACCCGGTTCCCTTCGATCCTGAAGAATGCAATGCGGGTGTACACAGATGTCGCGGGATAAGCTCCTTGGACCCTAGAGATTCCTAAAGCCTACTTGGAGGATCGGGGCACTTAGTAAGTAGGGATACAGGTACCTCATAGTAACAAAGCATAGTTACCTTACTTGTAAGTTTGTAAGCCCACTTACTAAGTCCCCTGAACCTTTACGTAGGCTCGTACAGCGTGTGCTACTACTACGTTTTGGGTGCATAGGATGATGGTCCTCACCGAATCTGGGAACCTGGGGTCGCGCGAGTGTGCAGAGCAGACCGTTTGTGGGTCGTCACCGTTTAGGCCAGGCCCCCCCCCCCTCCCCCTAAACCCCAAAAAGACTCTCAGTTCTGGGCTTGGCGTCTCTCTTGGGATGCTCCCCCCTCATACTAACTTATAGTAGGGAGTACTCGAATTCCTATTAAGGACTGTTTGTATAAGGGGGGACATCCCAACCTCTCTCTTTGGAGAACCCGAAATCTGAGCAACACACCGCCAAGAAAACAAACCCTAAACTCGAACCCTCCCTTTCGCAAGACCCCAAACCTGCATTTGTGGAGGTTGTGATCCAAACAACTCATCTCATTCGATTCTTAGCTGATCTACAAGAACTGTCTTTCGGTTGGTGAGTAGGTCCTCTGAGAATCCCGGCAGGATCGTCGGCTAGCAAGCTAGGCAACGAGGATGGCGTTGAGTCCAGCGCCTCACTCTATGCTTAAAGAGTTTCAGGTTTGGGGTTCAAAGGGGTTGTTAAAGGTAAGGGTATCCGAAACCCCAAGCTCTAAACCCTAAACCCTTTTTTGCATCCGGGCTTGGGGAGTCGGCCGGGAACCCTAAACCCGGTTCAAGGGGCTTGAGGAAAGTCGAGGTGATTGAGGGGCGTATAAGTGTTGGAGCGTGCACACTCATCACCCGGACTTTTGCTTCCGCCGGCGTTCAACCCCATATCCGAACCTGCACATTCATGGATAAGCTTATAAGTGGGTTTAGGGTTTAGGGTTTTTTAGGGTTTAGGATTTAGCGTTTAGGGTTTAGGGTTTAGGGGGAGTTGAGAGCTATCACCAGAGATTTAAGATTTAGGTTTTGGGTTGCGGAGGTTCACGGGTAGATAAGAATGGGGGGGACACAAGTAGGACAACTGCATCGATATACCGTCCAACACACAGGTATGTATATTATATGAGCCTATCGGTACCATGCCCCTAAACGTCTCAACTCCATAACAATGTCCAAGTTTGCCCGAGTCATAGCAACTTCCCAAATTCCCCAGACCCCAAACCCTAAACAACAAATCTAAACCCTAAACCCTAGACCCTAGACCCTAAACCCTAAACCCTAAGCCCTAAACCCTAAACCCTAAACCTTTCTTCAGGTACGGGCCTCCTCTGGCTGCGGCCAGCGCCGCACAAACCGCGCACGTGCCTGGGGCAGTCTTGCAGGGGCAAATCCGGTTGAATTGAGCGCGTGGGTTTAGGGTTTAGGGTTTAGGGTTTAGGGTCAGGCGGAACCCTACTCTAAGGTTCATGGGAGGTTGTAAGATATGGCTACATTGCTACACCTGAGTTATCGCAATACTTTGCTTCATGGGGCTTTGCAAGTTGTACTTGTGACTGGCGACCCTAAAAAACACTAAAGCCGTCCAGGCTACTACTAGGCACAAACCCCAGACCCTAAACCCAAAACCCTAAACAGAACTCTCACCTCACGATGGCCTCGGAAAGGCAACGCCTGCTCGCGGCCGCAGCGGCTCGCTCCTGCGTCGGGTTTGTCTTGCGGCCCATGGAGTTTTAGGGCCTTAGGGGTCGAATTTCGGGGTTTTGTGTGTTGAAAAGTCAAGATTTTGGGGCGTAGGGCATTGAAGGGTTGAGGGTTTGCTTTGAGGTTCTGAAATCTCCTTGATCCCTGCAGAAGCTGCCCGCGAAGCCCTTTTTGGGGTCTCGGGTGTAGGGTTCAGCACCCCAAAGTACGGCCTTAGGATGTAGGGTCTAAGGTCTAGGGTTTAGGGACTCTGGGCTATCTGTACCTTACTTGAGGGCTTAGGGTTTAGGAAAAATGGTTGCCCTGCATTGCTTATGAGAAGCCTACTTTACAATCACTGCCCATGAGCCTTCAAGCACCCTAAACCCTGCACCCTCAACCCTTTCACCCAGGTACCCTTTCTCCTGCCAGCAAACCCTAAACCCTAAACCCTAAACCCTAAACCCTAAACCCTAAACCCTAAACCTTAAACCCTAACCCTACCTATGCAAAGCCAGAGCCTGCTTTGCACCAACTCGAAACCCACAGAGGCACCTCCCGCATCGCCCGGCGGGTCGCTACGTCGTCGGCGAGGCGCTCGTTCCTGAAAGCTCGATTTTTTGGGTTTAATTCGGGTTTAGGGTTTAGGGTTTAGGGTTTAGGGGGGCGAAAGATGGGCTTTAGGTTTATAGGGTTTAGGGTGATCTTACTTGAAGTCTTCGGGGACAGAAAGGCTTGACAGTTTAGGCCTCAGGGTTTGGGCTCTAGGGCCAGCGCTTGTAGGGTTTAGGCGGTCCGGCTTGATGGTTTTGGGGTTAGAGATTCTGGCGTGATGGTTGGAACAATGCTGAGACTTTCAGATGTGTTTTTTTGTGCCCTGCACTCCCACGGCACAAAAATAGTTGATCCTTTTGTATTACTGGACTCCACGCAGACAAATGTCACCTGATCCAGGTTTCCTCAAGATCATGTTGCCGCAAAGTTTCCCCAACGACTTCCCAAACCTGTCTTCGTTCCCCGAAAAGGGTGCTAAAGCCGATAAACTAAACCCTAAACCCTAAACTCTAAACCCTAAACCCTAAACCCTAAACCATAAACCCTAAACCCTAAACCCCTAAACCCCTAAACCCCTAAACCCCTAAACCCCTGAACCCCTGAACCCCTAAACGCTAACCCTAAACCCTAAACAACCGAACATGCTAGAAGCTACCCCCCAAAGTTACGAGACCTCGGCCCGTTGGCCCGTTGCATCCCAGTAGCTTCTCCGTCACTGCGCGCATGGCCTGGAGTAGTAGTCTGCAAGTACTTCGTAACCCACTTAGAACTGCACCGATAACCCAATGATGGCCCTATTAGGTTACTTATAAGGGGCTTATAATGCAGGTACATAGTAAACCCACTTAGAATTCCCAAAATGATACCACGTGTACTTAAGGGGCTTATAAGTGGAGTATAACTTCACTTATGCTCGGGTCAGAAGTACCCTCAACCTCCAAGTGGTATCTGAACTCCCCTCAGGGGTTTTCCGCAAATAGGGCTACCCCTCTTTGGGGGTTTCTAGTCGAATTGAGGTATAAAAGTTGCACCCGGATCTTCGCAAACCCCCAATAGCTAAACTCCCCTTGAAACCTGACTACAAGACTCTTGGTTGCCCTGAACTTATCAGCAAAAGCGAAACATACTTCCTAAGGGCACTAGTCTGGTAGTGGACCGTTGACGGTGGTTGGAAAGACAGCGGCGTTTTTTTTTGTGTTTTTTTTTTTTTGGGGAGGGGGGGGGGGGGGGCATCGGCACATCATAGGGCCCTAAACCCTAAACCCTAAACCCTAAACCCTCTTTAATTGAGTTTGAAGGCCGGGTCCTAAAGCTGCACAGGAAACCCTAAACCATGTTCAAGGCTGGCCCCAACAAACATCCCCCATAAGGGTTTACCAGCTCATGGTTGGGATAGTACTTCCGCGATATCCTATTCCTCTCTCTGTCTCTTCCCAACCTGTACTGAATCGAAGTTTTCCAAACGGGAATTTCCCAAGATAGGCATCCCCGTGATCTACCCCGAAATATAGCCTAAACCCAAAACCCTAAACCCCAAACCCCAAACCCTAACCCCCCCCCCCCCAAAAAAAAAAAAAAAAAAAATTTTCGGACACGTCCGGCCTTCTAAGGGATGGCCCACTTCAGTCCTCTGACAAATATTCTCACTACAGATGGCTTAAGAAACGCCATAAAAATGAAGAATCTTCTTCCTTACTAAAGGCAATATATAGGGTTTATTATTGTTCATTCTTGTGGGGTTCTTAAGCAAATAGTAGCTTAGAATATGACCCTCCTGAACCCAATACGCGGGGAAATATAAAGCATTCCAAGGGCCTACCTAGAAGACCTAATCCCTCAACCCGAAATCGTCTAAAGCCCTCAACTCCCTGAATTTCCTGAATTGGAGCCTAGGTGCTCGCTGCTGGTGGGCGAGCTTCAATGCTTCAGACTTGGCCTGGCCCTCGTAGCCCACCTCTTTCAAGAAATTAAGACTCTCGTGCCCCTAAGGCTGTACCCCGAAGAGGTTCCCCAAGTATACTCCCTAAGCTGGCGCTTATATTTCCTTTAGAGGATCTTTAAAAAGGGCCCCCAAACCCCTAAACCCTAAACCCTAAACCCTAAACCGTACAACCTCAGAGATCCCAGGTGGAGTCCCCTGCCTCTTTCGGCTTAGGGCATCGGGGTTTTCCCCACCTCTTTGAGGAAAGCAAAGAAAACATCCCTCAAGACTGGGGAAGTAGCTTGGGTTTAGGGTTTAGGGTTTAGGGTTTAGGGTTTAGGGTTTTAGGGTTTAGGGTTTAGGGTTTAGGGTTTAGGGTTTAGGGTTTTAGGGTTTTAGGGTTTAGGGTTTAGGGTTTAGGGTTTAGGGTTTAGGGTTTAGGGTTTAGGGTTTAGGGTTTAGGGTTTAGGGTTTAGGGTTTAAGATTTAATTTAGTGCTTAGGGTGTAGGCTCCATACTAACAGTCCTTAGAAGGGATTTTAGTACACCCCTGGTATCACCCTACTAAGGACTGTTAGTTTAAGGGGAAACATCACAAGAAGTAGCCTAGACTCTGGGTCCTCGATATTCATGGGGCATGTACAACCCTTGTTAACCCCAAATCCACTTGATTCATCCGTTTGCAGGCACAGCGCTTGCCCGAAGCCTGCACTAAAGGCCGCGCA